TTTATCCCGTATTTGTAGAGTTATTCACACCCTTGACTACGTAAAAACCGTTTCATTATGTTGTGTTATTTGTTCCTTGAGTGCTTGAGTTAGAATCAACCAACTTTACAGAAATAATGATCAACATCACTAAATTACAGGAATAACAATGATAATAAATAATGATAAAAAAAATACACAGTATATTTTCATTAGTTTGCCTTTTTTGGTGAACGTCAAAACCTTTTTGGTGAACTTCAAAACTTACATAACCGCCTCCGTGGTCAAGGGGTTAGAGTCGATGAATTCTAATCCAGTTACCTCTCTGGCGTGGGTTCGATCCCCGGGAGATGCTTTGGTAGTTTAGCGCGGAGGAAGGTAGTCTAGTACTGGTGTAACTCTCCAGGAACGATGGTTAGGAAACTACCCGCCTATATGACTAAAATACTGTTGAAAAAAAGGCCGTAAAATGAAACAAACAAACAAACAAAAATCAAAACTTACATATGTGAATAAATGAGCATAAAAAAAAAGAACAGTGTGTCATAAAACACTTCCTTCATGAATGGCCATTTTAAAAAAAAATCAAATAAACATACAAACCCACTTACCTGAAAAAATATGTGAGAGTTTTGGTAAATATTTAAGACACAGAAACCATTTTGTCAAGTTTGCAATGATTTACTTGCTTGAACCAAGTGTGCATCCACTTCACGTCCTGCCAAGTGATTTTTATTTTATTTCGTATTCAAATATCTTGTAATATTTCCATATGTAGAGAAATGTATTTGTTTGATTTCAGATAAGAATTGGTACAACTAGGCCACATAAGGGAGGAGTTCAACTAACTTGTGGATGATGTTCAAAGCTGAGGAGAGTGAGAGCTTAAATCTATAAAACGGGTCTAAAACTTTTGATATAGAAAAAATAAATTCTTCAGTTAATTGAAAGAGGGCAAGTTGTACAAAATGCCATGGAGCTAAATATACATGGAGAAGAAACTGTGATGTCACACAGTTTAAATTTTCAGTATTGGCACAATTGTGTTCTTATAAGTTTATCATATGTTGCGGGATTTTCAGAGATTTGATGCATCCTGGGTAAAATAGCAAAACACCGTCATATATTGAATTCCCGGAGGAAGATGAAACATTTTTTTGCTTAAATAAAAAGCAATAGTTATTTATTGTAAAAGGTACTATACACACTTTTCTATACAAATATATTTCTCTGATGAAAATCTATGTCGGGGTATGTAAACAATAATTCATGGATATCGTCCAAGTTTAACGAGAGTGCGAGACTATTGAGAAAACCCAAATATCACTGAAGCCTGCAAAGGATTGTGGGTCTGAATCTGACTATTATCTATTTTTAGAGCTTCCTATCTGTTGTATATATATATATATATATATATATATATATATATATATATATATATATATATATATATATATATATATATATATATATATATATATATATATATTATATATATATTCTGTGAAAATGCAAAGAAGTCGTTGGATACCAAAGATCAACATTTCATTTGATTACCAGAGATCATCAATTCAGTGGATTACTGAGATTCTCAGTATGAAAGATTTGATGACAAGAAAATTATTAAACCAGCAAAAATTGGATCTTGCAGCAAGGATTTACTCATTTCAGAAGACAGCAATAGAAAATGTAGGAGTTGCATGTAATACTGGAGGTTTCTTGCGTCATGTTTTGTACTGTTTAAGTGATGTTTCTTAGACTGTTTAAGTGATGTCCCTCATTCAATCAGTTAAGAAAATGATGAAAGCAAATTAAAATCTAGGAGTGACCTAGTCAAGTATTATAATGTTTTAACTTTTAGTGCTAAATTTAAAGAGGTGTCACATGTTACACTGTTTTAAAAAAAGGAATCTTAAGTCAAGTGTTATTGCCAAAGCTCATTGCATTCCAGTAACTACAATGATATATCTAAAGAAGTGTGTCTAAACAATACAAAAACAATTACACTGTAAGGAAAATACTTTGTTTCATATGCAATCATGCTTTTATTAAATTTAATAGTTTGCTTATGACTGATGTTGAACTGCCTTGTCATTTAACTGGGATTTAAAAGTGCACATTTTAGTTCACATCAGTACAATGTGCTTATGTGAAGTAATGTGATTGCCCTGTGTCCAATGGCATCTTGTATTGTCAGAAATTTCTTGTAATGATATCTTCTAAGTTCTACAAAACTGATTATTTGATTTTAATCGTAATGATCCTTTGGTGGCCCTAGTAACAGTAATTCAGCTGTGGTCCAGTCATACCCAGTTGCTAGAATTTCCAGTACAATGCAATCCTAGGCTATTCCAGCCATTCCTTAGATCATGGAAATACCAGGAACGTCTGGGATATCCAAGTTCTTTGAAATGCCAAGGAATTACTAGAAAAAACGTTCCAAATACCGTGGGCAGGTCATTCTCAGTCATTCCTAAGATTATAAAAATACCAGGAGTTACTGGTATTATCATAGGTCTTTGAAATGCCTTGAAATGCCTGGGATTGACTAGAAAAATGTTCCAAATACCGTGGGCAGGTCACTCTCAGTAATTAGGATTTTCCAGTACAAGTCGATCTAAGGCATTCCTGGTTTCAAATTTTTTTTCTAGTTATTACCAGTAGTTTTCAGTCGTTCCAATTACCGCCAGCCAGTAACTGGAAATTCCTCAGATTTCCTTGCATTTCCTAGGAATTATCCCTGTAAATATTCCTGGGATTTCCCAGTAAAATCCTGGTAAATTACCAGTAATTTCTGCAAGGGTTAAACCTAAGGGCTTTTATTTGAACAAACTTGGTAGACACCCATTAGAAGATATTTCATGCTTAACATCTAAGGTCTAGCTGGTCAAGTTTTTTTCTTTACACATATAGTTAAAAACAATGACACACCTGGGGCAGGGTCAGTTTTGACCCAAGGGCTTTTATTTGAAAAATCTTTGTAGACACTTACTAGAAAATGTTTCATACTTAATATCTAAACTCTAGCTATTCGGGTTTTTTCAAAGAAGATTTTTAAGTTTTTGCTATACACATAAATTATAAGGAAAATCAATGTCCCCCAGGGCGGGGCCAATTTTGACCCCAGTGCTTTTATTTGAACAAACTTTGTAGACACTCACTAGAAGATGTTTCAGGCTTAGTATCTAAACTCTAGCTATTTGATTTTATTCAAAGAAGATTTTTTAAGTTTTTGCTATACACATATAAGGAAAATCAATGACCCCCAGGGTGGGCCAATTTTGACCCCAGGGCTCTAGAGTCTTATTTGAACAAACTTGGTAGACATCAATTAGAACATGTTTCATGCTAAATATCTTAGCTCTAGCTCTTTGGGTTTTTTAGAAGAAGATGTTTAAAGTTTTTTCTTTTGGTTGCCATTGGCAACAAGAGTTCTGCATGGAATTAAATACTTTGAACAATTTTCAAAGGTCAGACCACCAAAGGAACATTCCTGTGAAGTTTGGATGAAATTTGCTCAGTGGTTTATGAGGAGATGTCATTTAAAGTAAAAGACGCCAGACGGACGCCGGACGAAAAGCGATCACAAAAGCTCACCCTGTCACTTTGTGACAGATGAGCTAAAAATAACAAAAACATACAGGTAGTTACCAAATTACTACACGCCCTTTAGGTGAATTCCCCAGAGCTGTGTACATAAAGTATCGGAATCCAGTGTTTAGCTACATTTTTGAATTTGTGAATATAAATCTAGTTTTGAATAAACAGTTTTAATATTGCTAAAACAATTCTATATTGATTAGAAATATGTTAATTATATGAATGTAAATATCTTATAATACTATATTATAGAATAACTTCCCTTTTGTACTTTCTGTTATATATAACCTTTTTCTCATGGATAATTAATTTTGTTTATTATCATTGCTTTAAAAATTTACTGTAACAGTAAAATTAATAACTACATGAATTTTTATGTTTTATTTTTAAAAACAGGTTTTAAATCTTAAGTCAATGTGTAAACTTATCTGTTGCATTTCTTCTACAACAGTATACACACTAATAACTATACCTGGAATATCTTCAAAATACACAGACTGATTAGCAAAAAATTAATTTTGGGTTTTCACTGCAGTCAAATGTACAAATCAAGTTATGGCATTTTATCAACAACAACAACAAATACTTTTATTTGGAATCAGGTCACATAAATGCAACAACATGATCAAAAAGATTTTTTTGCTAATTTTTCTAATATCTATTTATATACATGGAACACCTATAACATCTATTGGTCACTTAAATACATTCTATTATGGTCCAAAGTTCAAACTTCAATTTGAAAACTCATTTGGATCATTTTAAAGATAAATATAATCACGGATCTGAATTACATCAGTGATATAATTATGTTTTTCTGTTTTTATTAAATATATATATAATTTTCTAACTAGAGGCAAATTAAACACTTTAAAATTTGCTTTCAATTCACAAGAAAAACATATTTTTATTTTCATTGCTAATTAGGTGTACTCTGAAACTTAAAATACACAGTCTTCCTTTTTGCACTTAAATGTTGATGTTTTAATATTATATGGTTTAGAGTGTGAAGTTGTTTATTGGCTGGTCAGTGTTTATTTAACTGACTGGGTGCTTGTATATCACCCTTTGGCAACTTATACCATGGACTTTTGGGAAAGTCATAAAATACAAGCCAAATTGTTTAATATGCATATACAGCTCAATACCTCAAGAAAAAAACATTTTTTCATCATAGCTAATATGTCATTGTCAATAGCAGTTTGAGAATTAAGGGTTACTAAATCATTGTTATTCAAAAAGTAAAGGACCAACTTTTTATTATCAGAACAGAACTTTTTTTATTTATACATGTACATAACTTACATCATTATACCTATAACCTAAATTTCAAGCGCATAGATTCCAATTCTCTAAAATTATCAGAAACTATTCATACTTTATTCATTTAAAAATGTAGATCAACTTATTTGTATAATTAGTTAAAATATTTACTCCAGTCCATTTAGTTTTTCAGTAAAATTACCTGGTTATTATAATAATATCAATAAAATATTTTCATTTCTACCATTTTCAACATAAAAACTAAAAATGATATTGCATGTACATTGATAGAAATATTCAATTTTACAAAAAAAAGAGTAAAAATGATAAAGTAATCAAATGTTATTTAAAAAGCCGTATACAATATTATATTACTATCAACAGAAATTATGTAGATCTCTAACAGTAACAAAATCTGTAATATTACTTCCTTTTCTTGTTGTTTCCATTTGAATATTAAAGGGACTTCACTGAGGTTTAAAAGCCAATAAAAAAAAAACAAAAAAAAACAATACATTTAAATGTCTTAAATAAATGAGCTGGGGCACTTTAAACAGAAATATATGCAAAGATAATTAAGAAATATACTTTGAAATAAATTGAAAATCTTTTATTATGCTTTTCTTAGCCCGATTTGAGTGAAAAGTGTTTAAATGATTTTCATTTTGGGCTATTTTTTACAATTTGAATACTTATTCTGGAAAAACGAAGTGTGTGAATGATCAAAGATCAGTGGTCTAAACCAGTACATCAAATGGTACATTTGTCTGGGGAAAAAAGTAGACCAATTCACTTTAATGGTTAGAATCGACAGTACAATTTGTTAAGTTTTAAGATATAAATAATGTATTCCGTTTAAAACGGGTCCACTGAAGGTTTCATAAATCCATATTTTATTTATTCTAGATGGTATTTAAAAGCATGCTTGCAATCAATTTCATTTAAAAAGTTATTTAGATGCAAAATTACTCACCAAGTCTTGAAGAAACAACCCGCATGTATAAATGACAGCGATTCTAACCATCGCGTCTATTTTACCAGTTTAACCGCAGCTTTGCGTGTAATTAAACTACACAGGCAGTTCAAAGAGTTTCGGCGGCGACGGTCAAGCCGATACGCTTACACGGGGGAGTCAGGTACTCGGTATGCAAGACACAATTTTCGTGACAGTACTATTCTTTTATAGAAGAATTAAATTATCTTATCTATCGGTTATGAATAATTGAAATGTTGATTTATAAGAAATATCATTTAAACGTTTGTAAACATATTGTAATTAGACCGAACACCCCTTCAAGTGCGCGAAAAATGAAGTCGTCCACTTTTGCGTCATTAAGTGCCATTGCCACATTATTAGCAGGACAGGGCATTTTCGGTAGATGGTAGAAAAAAAGCTTTTGTGTCGGATATATAATAAACTTCAAAAGGAGTTTTTATGATGAGGAAGGCCGAAGGTAAGCATTGTTTCTTATCATTAACATAATTAGAGTTAGGGAAGAACGAAAACGTAGTTTTTGGTGAGTTTATTATTTTTATGTCAACAAATACTAATCAGCTAATGGTTTCGTGGTCATGGAGGAAACGTACCTGGATTTTACGCACCATTTTTGGAGATTACGTACCATTACGTACCATTTAAATATTCTGGAGGCCCAAATCGCACTTTTTCTTTTTTAACAAATAAGATAAAAATCTGTCTACGGATCGTACAAAACTTTGACAGATCAATGTTAGATACCTGTCCAGCATAGCCATGTTTTCGATGTTGCTCTTTTACTTTACCACAGGCGCTAGTCACATAATCAAATATTTTACATAATCGGTCAGTATATGTATATTAAGATATCTTATTATTTTAGATCTATATAGCCCATATAAAACTTTAAAAAGTTTGTTTCAAGCACCTGTGGGTAAGACTAAGAGATGTTGAGTTGATTTTACCAAAGAAATAGAACTTCCAACGAACCTTTTCTCTTCCGTGTTGTCTGCAAATATATTGTTCAAAATAATTTATTGATCAGGAATAGGGTGTCAATTATTGGACATGGGCATTCAAACTAGAATTCCCCAGGCATTGTTTATTTTTAAAGTTCTCTGAGGTAACTATAATTGTCCTCCGCCTTTTCGAAGATTAAAAGGGGATATAGAAAGAATCCGGGTCAGCTCGGCCCTAAAACGTACTCGGGGCCCCCAAGTCAGCTCGGCCCTATTCCAACTCGGCACGGGTCATCTCGGCCCACTTTTTAATTATTAATATTAAGGTTTGTGTTATCACTATTTATTGTTATTATGAAATTATTTATAAAACACGGATTGACAGTTTCAGAGGCTTTTCTTATCAGTAGAATTGCGAGTAAAGATTACCGATTGCGTATCTCAGTGTATTTCTGACTCGTGGTAGGTGGTAGGTTTAACCGTAAATTTAAATACATTCAGTGTCAAACAATGTGTTGAAATATATACTGAGAGAAAGCTAAGATCACCAGCTTTTAATTGGTGTAACAAATTTTAAAATCGGATATTTAATCGCCCCAAACTAGCGATTTAAACACGGCTAAATTTGCATTCTTTTGCGAGCGAAGGGAAACTAAGGATAACAACTTTTGCTTTTTCACTCGATATACCTCAGTTATTTACGTAGTTCAACAGAGAGAGTTTATAAATATAAGACAAATAAATAACAATTTTTTTCTAAATATATTTTATTTCGGCAGAAGTACAATGTATAATTATATAATAATAAGATATTTCTTATTATTCATTTACCGTAACAACATGCAAAGCAAAGTAAGGGGGCCGAGTTGACCCGTGCCGAGTTGACCCGTGCCGAGTTGGTATAGGGCCGAGTTGACTCTTTTCCGATAGAAATAGGCTCCGTCTGTCCGTCCGTCCGTCACACTTTCGTGTCTGGACCATAACTTTGTCATTTATGAAAAGAATTTGAAATAACTTGGCACAAATGTTAATTATAATAAGACGATGTGTCATGCGCAACAACCAGACCCCTACCTCCAGGGTTAAGGTCGCACTTGCTCATTCGAGGTCAACATTGTCTATTTGAGGTATAAATCTATGAAGGGATTTTGTAAATACTTGCCATAATTGTTCACAATAATCAGACGATGTGTCATGCGCAAAACCCGGTCACCTTCCTTCAATGTCAAGGTCACACTTGGAGGTCAAATATTAACATAGTCTGTTACAGGGTATATTACGTGTCCGGTCCATATATATAACTTTGTCATTTATCAAAGGAATTTGAAATAACTTGGCACAAATGTTTGTTATAATAAGACGGTGTGCCATGCGCAACAACCAGACCTAGGGTCAAGGTCGCACTTGCTCATTCAAGGTCAACATTGTCTATTTTAGGGTATATGTCGTGTCCGGTCCATAACTTTCTTATCTATGAAGGAATTTTGTAAATACTTGCCATAATTGTTCACAATAATTTTGCTGGTGTCTTGCTGGACTACTTTCTTCTTATATCTGAGCCACTACACAAAATTAAAAGGGATTTTTTCCTATTCATGAAGTTAAAAAAAGAGAAAAATTAAGTATATATAATAAATTAAAATAAATAGAAATTGAGCAAGTTTTTTTTCTATTAATACAGGATTTATTTTCATCTTGTAGTATGAAAATTCCCTTAGGAAAAGGAAAGGCATTTAACTTGCAGTTATTTAGCATTGTTTTTCTGACCAGTTTTAACCATTTATTAAGCAGTTTTCCTTGACAAATATGATTATGTAGAAAGCATTTAAAATGCAGTTAAAATGCATTTAAAATGCAGTTATTTAGCATTGAAAAAGCATTGAAATCAGCCGAAATATGTAAATGAGATGACATCATAAAACTGCCTCCAAATATGGAGATAGCATTTCCAACCATTTATATGACCTCATAAATAACTGCCAAAAAATTGTGTTTGCATTTTCAACCATTTATATGACATCATTAAAAAACTTTCAAAAAACTACTGAAGCCTTTATATATGACCTCATAAATAACTGCAAAAAAACTTTCAAAAAACTGTTGCATTTATTTGAGCTAATATAATACTGTTAACAACTGTTCACATCTGAAAATAATTGTACATGTACATGGAATTTCTATTACATTGACACATATGTATGTACATAGATTTCTTACAAATCACCAAATCCCCTAACTTTTCATGAACTCAAAAGCATTGCCCTTTTAGTTTCATTAGGCAACCAGTTTGATTACTGTGTGGACTTAAAGTTTTGGACACTTTTTAATGTATTTAACATTAGAAATTACTAAGACGAACAACAGACATACATGTATTGAACTGTCAAAAATCTCACAATAAGCCTCTGGATCTTTTGAACTTTGAGATTAAAGGCCATATATGCGTTTGTAATGAGCAAAAATGTTAAGTACAAAAATCTTATCCAATGACATTGTTATGAACAAAAACGAAAAAGAAATCATAGTATTTCTCTTCTAAAATGGTCAAAATGTTGAAAAACACCACATAATTCTTGTAACGCCTACAAGACGTTACACCAAATAGTGCTTACATTTTAAAAGCATTAAAAGATTGGATAACACCCTTGCAGAAATTACTGGTAATTTACCAGGATTTTACTAGGATTTTAGTGGGAAATCCCAGGAATATTTACAGGGATAATTCCTAGGAAATGCAAGGAAATCTGAGGAATTTCCAGTTACTGGCTGGCGGTAATTGGAACGACTGAAAACTACTGGTAATAACTAGAAAAAAAATTTGAAACCAGGAATGCCTTAGATCGACTTGTACTGGAAAATCCTAATTACTGAGAATGATCTGCCCACGGTATTTGGAACATTTTTCTAGTCAATCCCAGGCATTTCAAAGACCTATGATAATACCAGTAACTCCTGGTATTTTTACAATCTTAGGAATGACTGAGAATGACCTGCCCACGGTATTTGGAACATTTTTTCTAGTAATTCCTTGGCATTTCAAAGAACTTGGATATCCCAGACGTTCCTGGTATTTCCATGATCTAAGGAATGGCTGGAATAGCCTAGGATTGCATTGTACTGAAATTTCTAGCAACTGGGTATGACTGGACCACAGCTGAATTACTGTTACTAGGGCCACCAAAGGATCATTACGATTAAAATCAAATAATCAGTTTTGTAGAAGATATCATTACAAGAAATTGCTGACAATACAAGATGCCATTGGACACAGGGCAATCACATTACTTCACATAAGCACATTGTACTGATGTGAACTAAAATGTGCACTTTTAAATCCAGTTAAATGACAAGCAGTTCAACATCAGTCATAAGCAAACTATTAAATTTAATAAAAAGCATGATTGCATATGAAACAAAGTATTTTCCTTACAGTTTAATTGTTTTTGTATTGTTAAGACACACTTCTTTAGATATATATCATTGTAGTTACTGGAATGCAATGAGCTTTGGCAATAACACTTGACTTAAGATTCCTTTTTATGCCCCCATTTCGAAGAAAAAGGGGTATATTGCTTTGCACTTGTCGGTCCGTCGGTCCGTAGACCAAATCGTTTCCGAGTGATAACTAAAGAACCCTTAGGCCTAGGAACTTCAAACTTGGTATGGTGATTGGTCATGACCAGTAGATAACCCCTATTGATTTTGGGGTCAAGGGGTCAAAGGTCAAGGTCACATTGACCTTGTAAGCAAAAACGGTTTCCGATCAATAACTAAAAAACCTTAAGGCCTAGGAACTTCAAACTTGGTATGGTGATTGGTCATGATCAGTAGATGACCCCTATTGATTTTGGGATCAAGGGGTCAAAGGTCAAGGTCACATTGACCTCTTGGGTAAAAACGGTTTCCGAGTGATAACTAAAGAATTCTTAGGCCTAGAAACTTCAAACTTGGTATGGTGATTGGTCATGACCAGTAGATGACCCCTATTGATTTTGGGGTCAAGGGGTCAAAGGTCAAGGTCACATTGACCTTGTAAACAAAAAGGGTCTCCGATCAATAACTAAAAAAACCTTAAGGCCTAGGAACTTCAAACTTGGTATGGTGATTGGTCATGATCAGTAGATGACACCTATTGATTTTGGGATCAAGAGGTCAAAGGTCAAGGTCATATTGACCTCTAGGGTAAAAACGGTTTCCGAGTGATAACTAAGAATTCTTAGGCCTAGAAACTTCAAACTTGGTATGGTGATTGGTCATGACCAGTAGATGACCCCTATTGATTTTGGTCAAGGGGTCAAAGGTCAAGGTCACATTGACCTTGTAAACAAAAAGGGTTTCCGATCAATAACTAAAGAACCTTAAGGCCTAGGAACTTCAAACTTGGTATGGTGATTGGTCATGTCAGTAGATGACCCCTATTGATTTTGGGGTCAAGGGGTCAAACGTCAAGGTCACATTGACCTCTTTGGTAAAAACCGTTTCCGATCAATAACAAAAGAACCCTGAGGCCTAGGGACTT